GTATTTATGGAAAGTATTCATGAATGTAAAACAAGGGTATTGTTCACCTCTTTGTATGATTTGGGGAAAGGACCAGAAAGGAGCCAGTTAATTAACAAAAAAAGAAAGAAAATTAAAAAGTCCAGTGGTGAGAAATTGAACATATCAACCATGAAACTGTGTTAATTTGATAAGTGTCTTAGTTCAAATGTAGATCCTGGACACTTAACAAAATGGTGACAAAATAATTAGGAATGAAGGCATATTATACACACATTAGTAGCTGAAATGAATACAGTATAAAGCTCCCTTCAGGAAAATGCTTTTTGCACAGCACAGAGCAATTATGCATAGACTTGATTTTATTTCCTCATTCAAAGAGGATCTGGGAAGAATGACAAGGAGCCTTTCTAGTTCGGTTGAGTTCTGAAGCCCACAAGCCGAAGTAGAGAAGGAAGAGAAGGTTAAAGTGGGCAAGAGAGGGATGTGGAAAACTAACAAATGAAGAAGGATGTGCACAAAGCCCTGCGTTGTAGCCCCTTCCCTTCTCTTCTAATTTTCTGATTCTCTGCTTTGACTCTCTCTCCTTCTCACCTTTATCCTCTCACATTTGTGTCCCCTTTAAGATTTTTCCCTAGTCTCTTTGTATATTTCACCTTCACTCTTTTCTTTCCTTCCTTCTCAAAACAATATTCATTAAGGCAAGAAAGCTCTTGAGAAAAAAGAAGATGAATGGTTTAATTTTTGTACCAAATTCAAAAGGTGGAGACAAGGAAAGGAAACCAATGCATCATGTCTTTATAGCTCAGACAGGATGGCAACCTTAGGAGAAAATAGCAAACCAGGGGATAGAAACTGAGGCCTTTCATGGAAAAAGGTAATTCATTACAATACCTATTGTTCTGAGGCTGGGTGTGTGAAGTGATATTTGTACAGTTTCAGCCAGGTAATTGGGTTCTCTTGCTTTGTCTCTTTCCCTTGAGGAGTTTAAATTTTTCCTTTTATAACTATAATACAAAGATGAGTCAGTGGCCCATTTTGTAAAAAGTAGATTTTTTTTAACACAGTTTACAGTATAGTTAGAAATGAACAGTCTTCTCTCGTGCGTAAAGCATCCAGGGAATGCATTTAACTGCTAATTTTGAAAGAGGAAGGACAAAGGTGACTATATGCTTACACATCAAAGTCATTTCCTTCATCAAGTCATTTTATATTATCCAAACCATCATTTCACTTATTGCCCTCCAGCAATCCCTGCTGCTCATTATTATTATTCATTATTATGATGATGTGTTCATTATTATTTCTATTCTTATGACTATTATGTGCATAAAGTAATTGAAGTGAAATCACTTTTGCCAGGTCATTCATGTCATATTTTCTTAGACCTGAAAAGATCCATCCCTTCATCTTGCAAAAGAGAAATAGAGATGCAGGGAAATTAAGTGCCTTGCCATGTCACATTGCTAATTAGGAACAAATTTGAGACTAGAAGTCGGGCCTCCTAGAGTGCTCTGGCCACTAGATCACGCTGCCTCTTATTTAGCCTCACGATGATCCAACCAGCATGGAAATACAGATATTTCGTACATGTTTGCATTCTTTTTAACTAAGTCATGAAGCAGCGAACGCTTGCATACAAACTACTTTGGAGGGTGTTGACAAGTCCCAGAGACGCTGTAAGTTCTAAGGTTAAGGTAGAGGTGGTAATTCAAGGCCAGCCTTAAACCATACTAAAGCACCCCAGTACTTCAGGAATTGGGACAATTTGTCGGGATAGCGGTTAGTAACAGATACCGGGTGAGCATGCTCAAGGTTGGTCCCATCACTCCTGTCTTTCTGACAGCAATTGGCTGAATGCAACCAGCATTCTCTTCTTCATTTCATCTTCTCATTCCCTATTAGAATTCAGATTTACTTCAAAGCAGAGAGCCTCCTTAATTATCCTTTATTTTTCTGAAAGATAAGATCCTGATCTCATACACTGTCCCATTAGGACACACAAACTTTGAGGCAGGCAGTGGGCAACTGTCTGATATCTTTTCTATGGTCCAGCATGAAGGTGGATGCAAATCACAAGTATGGCCAAAAAAAAAAAGAGAAAAAAGAGCCAATCCTTATTAATATTCTTCATAATCAATCTTCATAGTCAGAGGTGTTTTATTTCCATGATGTTTCCTGGACAAAACTCATAAAAGATTGCACAAAGGCTGATTTTCTAAGAGAACAGTTTTTATTGCTTCTCTTTGGTGGCTTCAAGCACATGATCTAATCTTTCTGCGCCTCTTCTGTGAAATGAGGCCAACAACAGTACCCTCCTCAAAGGCCAGTTAAGGTTTAAGTGAGTCAAAATTCAAAACGCTTAGCGTAGTGACTAGTGCACGGTCCATCCCCCCAAAAAGAGCTGCTTAATATTTTTCCCAGGAAAAATACTAAAGCTGTAGATTAACTATCAAACAACTTTTAGAAACCATCTTGTTAGAATAATCTTTCCCGGTTAGCCATGAGCAATGCACCAACAACAGGGAACAGTCTGTATTGTTCATAAGAAACCCAACGGCCTTCCACCCCCAGGTTTTCTGTGCTGCACACTGATTTTCATTCCCACTTGCACAGGGTTCCACCCCTAGTAACAGGCATATTTGAACTCAGATTTTGCTCTTTCATCCTCAGCCCTCTGAGGCTCTGGGAGATTCATGGCTCTCACGTTTGAAACCGGGGTTCCTTGGAAATATTTAACATTTGGGTGAGTTATCTTTACTATGGAAATTAATACTCTCACAGTTTTATTCGTTAATATTTTAATATGTTTAAGATGAGACTCAACCCAAACCAATTTACTCAACCCAAACCAATTTCCAAATCAAATCTGTCCCTCTGTAATTTGATTTGTTGGAACAGAGAACAAAAGCATTACCAACAGGGCAGTTTGAATGAAATTATAATTAATTAGGCATATGAATGCACTAACTAATTTTGGATGAGTAATTAGATGACTAATTATGTCGAAAACAGAACTGTGTGCTTAATGAGATGACCATGGCCAATTCTACCCACTGAGAATTTTTTCTATTAGTTAAACTTTTGATTGTTTTTGATGATTCAGGGTCACCTGTGGCACAATTACGTCGAGGAGTGATTTGAGACTGTTTTTTTTTTTTTTTTTTTTGAGGTACGCAGGCCTCTCACTGTTGTGGCCTCTCCCGTTGCAGAGCACAGGCTCCGGACGCGCAGGCTCAGCAGCCATGGCTCACGGGCCCAGCCGCTCCGCGGCATGTGGGATCTTCCCGGACCGGGGCACGAACCCGTGTCCCCTGCATCGGCAGGCGGACTCTCAACCACTGTGCCACCAGGGAAGCCCTTGAGACTGTTTTGATTTGCAATTTCCATCATACACCCACAGTTAAGGCCTCTTTCCCAAACTTGTGTTCTATAATTGTAGTCTTCGGATTTACTGATATCCCATTTCTTTCCTTTCACACCCTCAAACGCATACACTTTCCCACCACCATCTAAATCCCAAGACAATTGCTTTAAGTTTCTAAATATAGCTCTCGTTCATTATTGCTGCTTAGGTTTGGGATCTACCCAATGATAAATTAAACAAGAAGAGAAATGACCCATTGATCAGGCTATAGATAAATCTTCATCCATCCTGGAGTCGTATTTGCACTGGAAGTTTCTCCTTTTAAAGGGCTCTGTCAGAGACCGGCTCAGATCAGAGGCAACCTTCAAGCATTTAGTAGTTCCGCTTCAGGCAGCTGGTTCTAACTAGCACCTATTTGGCAGAAACCTACACTCAGGATTTCTGGTTTTAAGTTCAGACCAATATTTCATAGCAATTGTGTTGTCAGAATTCAGGTCAGGAAGATGGCAGATGTTAATTGAAACCAAAGAAGCAAAAACAAACTCCTTTTCCTTTTCCTTTTTATCATGCAATTGGCAGCTCTATGCAAATTCTGAACACAAAGTAAACTGTCAGTGGGTTAGAGACACACGGAGTAGAGGAGACCTTCTTAAGGTATTTTGATGTCCGGTAAATACCGAATTGATTCTAAAATCAGACAAATAATTAATGGTGGGAAAAGGGATGGCCTTTGTATGTCAGAAAATACCACTGTTGATTTTCTTTATTCTAAAAAGCAAGCTGAAAATCATCATGATCTCAGGTTTTATGAAAATGCCTTACCTGGTCCATATTATTCAATGAGCCAGACTGTAAGCTCAGTCCTCAGAGAAAAACCATTCACCTGGGTCTCTGCTTTTTTCCTAGACTTCAAAAGGATTTCCCTTTGAGAAAGTGTTACATCTGCAGAAAAATTTGTATTCGTGCCTGGAATCTAAGTAGAGTCGAATCTACTCCATGGTTAAAACCCAAGACTCCCCATTCTTTTATGATAAACGCAAAATTGCAGGAAATATCCTACGAATCTACGTGAATGTATCTGTTTTGGGGTGGATTTGTGTACATGTAACTCTCTTTACATTTGCCCTGCCCTTCATCTGTTTTTATAGTTTCAAAAGGCAAAGAAAAGACCCAACCCTGAACGTCTTCCTGATAAAGGTTTCTATCTGAAAAGGGAATTATGACTCTGCCATAAAATCACTTGAATTAGCAATGTGCAATTCTTCGCATTGTTCAGGGCTCAGTATACTGAAATGATGATTTTTTTCACACCGAAGAAATTATTTAAAAATTATCTGCTGTATTCTTCAAATCAGTAACCAATTACCTGACAAGCATTTGAAGATTATTAAGTGGCACTACCTGTCTGATCAATATTTTGTTTCCATGAGACCAATAAACTACATACACCCCTGGTTGCTTTACGGCTCGCTTGTTGACCCAACATTTCTGCAGAGTCTGACCTTCACCACCAGGCAGTTCTTAGGTCTGTTGTGTGATAATCTTATCTGGTTTTTGCCCCTTTATTTTGGCTATTTTTGCTGACCTTTTCCTTGCCCAAGAAAGCTTTCAGGAATTTTGGTTCTCCACCTGAGGATACTGAAATATTATTTACCTTAGATTAAGCATTTTGGAAGGTCTTGCTCAAGGAGACGCATCACACTTCCACATCCTGCCCGGAAGAGGTCACTTCAGATGCCCCAGTTTATCCTGCCCTCGTTTCCATGTAGGAGGTGTCACACTTCAGGAAAACAGAGACCCTTTGCTTCTGCCGGTTTAACCTAAAGAGCAAAAAATAGAAGCCCTCTCTGTAGTTTGCTTGTTCCTCAATGAGAAAAAATCAAAAAGAATGCTTTGAAAGAGAAATTTAGACTCTACAAAGATCTTTACGCGGAAATGAAGGCCAAATTTGGAAATTCACAGAACAAAATCCTAAGAATTGTTTTAGCTTGTCCTCTTTTCATGTTAACTTTCCCCCAGGTTTGGCAAAATGATGCACTTTGCTTTAGTTAACAGTTTGCCCCACTTCCAGAAGGCTAGGCATTGTTTCCTTCCTGTGTTAGAGATTTATTAGAAAAACTGATACTGTGTCAGAGAAGCTGAAGATAGAACAAGACAAAGGGAATCAAAATAGTCACTTGTTTTTGTTTTTTAAAGGTGTTACTTTAGAAGCCAATGATCAACACGCTTTTACAACCTTAGGATACTCTGTCCCCTGTGCCTGCATCTACGTAAGTGTTGAACGTACCACGGAAAACGGAGAGCACTTGACACTAAAAATGTTTACTTCGTTTAGTCCACTACTACCAATGTAAATGGCTTTCCCTAAATCAGGGATTCTGTTACACAGTCCTGAACTCGTTCAATTCAGTTAAGTCAAAGTTAACAATTATCTACTGAGTGTTCCTCACGTGAGCTGAGCATATGCTTGGGCCCACAGAACAAAAATACAAGCAATTCAAGAGAAAGAAAAATTCGTTTGCATTTTATTACTGACCAAGAGTGAACTTAACAGTAATTTACGTTGGTATGTAAATGTATGCTCAGTGTATATGTGTCTTTATGTGTGTGTACGCTTGCGTGTATGTGCGCGTGTATGTGTGTGTTACGTGTTTGCTGAAAGCATATACTTTCTAAAACACAAATAATTCAGGTTGATTTCCTTTTTTCCCAAATCTAAAGCAAAAATACTTTTGAATTATTATGTTTGGTTTACCTTTTTCTACATCTGATTCATGTGTTGCTTATTATAGAATTCTACCTGATGATAGAACTTGTGTTGAGAAATCTATTTCCCTAGATTTCTGGTCTGATACAGTACACATTTTGTCAAAGCAAATGCATCAGACTCATAGAATAGACTTTACATTTTGCCCTTAAACTGACTAACTGGGATGTCTATGTTTGTTTGACTTGCTAGTACCTACTTTTCTGTCCTTTGTGGAAAGGATGTAAGTTCATATTGGCCACAGAAATTAGTGTTTCAATAGAGTTACTTCTGTACCTAGCATACCACGTAGAGAGCAAAGTATGTCTTCACTGCAGGTTACTTATATGGGCATCCACTGAAGTAAGTGTTCCAACTGCAATGGAATTCTTTAGCTACATTTCAATACACATTCATAAAACAACTAGGCTTCAAAGAAATGAACTGAAAAAAGTCAAGATAAGGGCATCACACTTTGGCTTTTACCAAAAGTTTTCAGACACAGTTGGCCAGTGAATTCTATTGTTTCTAAAATCATTTAAACTAATATTAGAATGACTCTTTATTGTGTTTTATTGCTTTATAGTTTGTGGTGATATGATAAAAGACCGTTAAAATATACATGGGTAAATTCTTCCTGATAACTTATTAACTACTCCCCAGTTAAGCTAACATAGCCCTCAGAGGCTCTTAGGTAAAAAATAGGTGTTAGGTCGCTTTTGTCCTGCACAGGATCCACGATTGTCACATGAGGCCCATGGTAGGTAGGTACTGCATGATACTCAGGGGAGGATGGTACCCAGAGCGAAGGTGCTGTGGTTTCTTAAAAAATAAAATCAGTAATTGGCTCTACAGTATTGAATCTCATGAATTGACGTGTCTAAGAGTCCACTGTCAGTTCTAAACCAAATATGGAGAAAGAGAGAAAAAACAAATGTGGGGCTGGTTTCTGCTTTCCATCCCTGGTTTCGCACAGACCTTAACAAGGCCCATCCTCGCCCATCCTGTGTAGCAGCTGAGGATTAAGCGTCATCACTGCAGTTTTGTGTTAGCATACCCCACCTCTGTCCATGCGTGAGAGTCATTAAGAAAGACTCGGTCCGAGGTCAAGTGTCAGTGCAGCTGTGGAGGTTCCTCCAACAAGGTAAAAGCATGATTCATTCAAGATGGCTTACACTTCTCCATTGGTTCAGGCTGAGAACACATGCAGCTGGGTCACAGCTGGGAAAGCACCTGGCTTCCCATTCACCCAGAGCTGAGTCCTACCCTTCCTCATGGGTGAGGTAAGGGAAGGCTGGGAACAAATTTCAGAATTTGAACTCTTCCCACCACACCAGGTGGCTACATAACAAATACCATCCCATGGAGGTCTAAGGTATCCGTTTTTCACCAGGAATTCTTCCAAGCAGTGGTATGTAATGTTACTTCCCTCACACCTCCCAGATTCTTTAAGCCCATATATTGTGAATGTATTTAAAATAGTTCAAAAATATTGACTTTAGAAAAATGAAATCTTACCGGCAATTCTTGTCAGTTGAAATAAAAAAGTTAAATCTTGTATTTTTAAATAAGCTTTAATCATGTTTTATAAAAACAGGAACAGGAAAAGTATATAATTAAAAGATTTGTTTATGACCCTGTATGAACTTAGCCAAGAAATCTGAAAGAGTCTGAAGTAACACGGCTGCAGTGGGGTCAACCTGAAAATCAAAGGAATTAAGTGAATTCTTAAAACATAAACCAAGGAAACGTTTGAGAGCAAACTATCCCAGATCTGGAAATAAATTACTTAGATGAATCTTAGAATTGAGCATCCCAGGAAGACTTGGCATCGGGAGAAATATGTAGTTCCTTCCCTCAAAGAAGCAAACGATCTAGGATGGGAAAAATTAATGTGCATAAGTAATATAATGGAAAGAGAGGAATTAGTAGTCAGAACAGGGTTGTTTGATCTGAGGATAAACTGTATCTGTGCTACTAAGACTAAATTATGTGAAATAATTCAAATTAGAATACTGACCTTACTATATTTATATCTTTTTTTTTGTTCTTACTAGATTACTGGTTTATTATAAAAGGATATAACTCAGGAACAGTCAGATGGAAGAGATGCACAGGGCGAGGCATGGGGTGAGGGTGCAGAGCTGCCATGTCCTCTGCAGATGCTCTACTCTCCCAGAACCTCTTTCTGAACCCTGAAACTCCTATTTATAAACTTTAAAATAGAGCCATAATACTACGATTTACACTGGTGTTATTTATTGAATGGTGTGAACATTCTACGGTAAATCAACTGTGAGGTAACAGAACAGCTATTACAGTACCTATTTTACAAGTAAAGATACTGAGGCTAATAGAAGCATGGCAGCTCTACTGGGTCATTCTAAAGGGCACTATTTACACTGTACCCATCAACTGACCTTCTTGAGATACCAAAGCTGGCTAATGACAGAGCTAGATTTTGTTGGCAAACTTCAGTACATGGGCATTCGAGTCACGTGGACCCTTATCAGCTGAATGGCTTTGGTCCTGATGATTGTCATTGTCATCACTTATTTTCTTTGTGCCTCCATTTCCTAATCTTCAAAACAGGATAATAGCGCTTGTTTCACACATTTATTGTAAGGATTAATGGGTGCAGAGCACTGAGTACAAAACAGACGTTCAATACATAGTGGCAGTTACATAAATGTTACTATGTAAGAACTAATGTCTATTGATTTCTAGGTGAAAAATCTTTCCAGGACATCAGGCTTTTTTTTTTTTTTAACATGGGCTGATTCCACCATATAAATATATCATTTAAACAGATATTTTATGTGTAAACACACACACACACACAATAAACTCACATACACATAACTTCAAAACAAATCTATAAGAAAGAGTTTTCCCAGTTGGAATTTTTGTTGTAATCTTTACTGAAGAACAAAAACTCTCCTGTTATGAAAGCTTAAATATTATTCCATTTTCCTGAGTAGTCCAATCATGAGTTATATAAATTGCTTTCATTAAATTACATAAAAAATAAACTGTGTAACAAACACCTGAATTAGTGTGTAAAAAAAAAAATTTCCTTTAAGAACTATGTGATAATGGTTTGGCTTTGTTTAGAAAACGTCTTCAAGTTTAATTTACTTAAACCAAAGATAATTAAAGATAATAAAATAAAAAGTAATAAATAAAAGTTAACCTCCAATAGGAAAAAAAGAATCATTATTGGGGTAGGGGGAAGAAAGAAGTTTCACCTTTAAAATGTGACTCAGCTTTGATAACACAAAGTTCTGAATAAATAATCCAAAAGAAGTTCAGTCAGATGAAAAAGCACCCAAGATGAGTATGATTAAGAAGTATGGGCAGGGCTTCCCTGGTGGCGCAGTGGTTGAGAGTCCACCTGCCGATGCAGGGGACACGGGTTCGTGCCCCGGTCCGGGAAGATACCACATGCCACGGCGCGGCTGGGCCCATGAGCCATGGCCGCTGAGCCTGCGCGTCTGGAGCCTGTGCTCCGCAACGGGAGAGGCCCGCGTACAGCAAAAAAAAAGTATGGGCAGCATAATGCATCAATATGTATTTGAGATTTTTCTAATAACTCTAAATAAATCCTTTTCAAGTTTTGTACACTCTTCCTATTTGCTAAAGAGAACAGCATTTTTCGTTCATTTCTTTCCCCTTTATTCACATCTTCGTTTAGTCATTCAACAAGCATTTCTTGAGCAAATAGTAATAACAAGATGCACCAAGGCCTGGGTAAGGTATGTCCTTTGCTTTAAAGGAATTTAACATACATGTAAGTTAAGACACATAAATACACAAGAAACAAGGCATGACACGGCACCAGTAAGTCTCTGGAAGAGGGGAAAGAATTTCAAGCAGGTGTCATCCAGCAAGTTAGATGCAGAAGGAGCAGCTAGCCCGTGGGATAGGCAAAGATGGGTGACGGGCATTCTAGGTACAGGAGGGCTTAAGTCATATAAAGGGAGCCCTACTGCAGGGAAGAGAAAATAGGATTACAGACATTTTTAAGAACAGATTTAGGAATATTTGTTATCAACTCTTCATTCTGCCAGTATT